GATTTTTATTTATTTATTATGGTGCAACATCTATATTTACAAAAAAATTCAACACATTCTTTGTTTTCTACCATGTGCTCATGAAAAGAAACTGTAATGGGGGTATGCTGAGTGGTTTCTACTCTTATATTTATTTCATTCATATTTTGAAATATATTGCCGCTGACATCTTAATTGTGTAAAACAGTGCCAAGGTGCGAGACGAAGAATTGCTCCACTGCAGCGCCTATAGTCAGCGGGCTTACGTGCCAGTTCATAGCCTCAAAAGGTGAAAAAAAACCCCTCTCATTCCTGTACGTGTGATTGCTCTTATGATTATTGATGCACTTGCCGTTTAGAGTTTATTGACGGCACGATTTCGCTCGAACTAAGCCTTTCAGAAGGTTCAATCGGTTGTTAGGTTTTGAAGAGGAGTGGACTGAGCAGCACCACCTGAATCGGCCACATTTTCAGGAGGCAAGTGGACCACCTGTATAGTGCCTGTGGCGTTCGCCATTATGAACCCAGACCGCCAGCGTCTCTTGAGATTCGCCCACGGCCCTCCGGTCTGTTGCTCCTGAACGAGTACGCTTGGGTCACCCCGTTTACGAAGACGAGCGCGCTTGTCGCAGAGCCACGCGGTGGCCCGTGAACCTGCCCCTTCCGCCCCCCTATCGAAACGTTGCGAGCGGCCCGTGATGTACTGACGCCCTGCCGCCTATCATGAGGGACACTCGTGCACTGCCTCCCGAGCCCACGATGCCACCTCTGAAAAAGGGGGGTGAACGTGCCGCTTCTTCTTACTCCGCCGCTGCCCCGTTACGGTGGCCACACCGGTGCTTTACCCATGGCCTTAACCCTTTCCCGTTTCCCAGACGTCTGCGAGTGGCAGGGTGGGCGTCTCGTTCACCTCTGAATCTCGGAACGCGCAAGCGGCTCGGCGTTTCATTTAATTTAGAGAGGCGTGGCGCCGTTTTTAAAGACATTGTACTCACCACAGAGAACTGTAGCCACACGACTGCACTATCCAAGCTGGCACCAAACTGTGCCAGACGCCCCCTCGCATGGCCTTGTGGGAGCCTCGGCTCTGATGAACTTATTTTGTTTTTTTCTTCCGGTTTCCTTTTGATGTGTGTCATCGGAATGAAATCGGAAGAGAAACTAGTGACGTACACATACGCCAACAGATAGGGGAATTGAACATTGTATATAGAGATGTCATTAAAAGCTGTGTGAAGGGGGGGATTTTGTAATCCCGTATCTGTGTAAATGAAATGCACTTCAATGTTCTGCACAGGGATATGGAGCGTGGCAAGGGCCACCATCCATGACATTTGGAAAGTCTCATTGCATTTTTTGTAGTTTTATATTCAATGTCATTGTTGCGCAAACATCGTTGTACTTTATAACCAACTGAAAGCCCACTGACATAAATTCATCTTGTATGACCTAAGGTCAATTAGTGTACCCAAAATGTTGAAGGCAACAGTTTGTGTAAAATAAATATAAAAACAGTACACTTTACATATACAGTACCATACCCAAAAACTAACTTACATTTACAACATTTTTACGAATATCCATAATGTTGTTACTCTGTGTGTGGGTGCGTATATATATATAACTAATTGCACGAAAATAACATGTAACCACTGTCGATGGCAGATGTTACCATCCCCAAAGTATCTATGTTCAAGCAAGTATTTTAATAACATTTATCTTCATCGGCGATCTCGAGCCAGTGGTTTAAAGTCCATAGTCACATGTCAAGGTGTGCCAGTTTCATCCATAGAGTAACCACCGTCGCCAACCCACAAGTGGTATTCATTTTATCGACACCGAAGGAAATGATACGGCAAGCCGATCCCCCATTTGAGATATGAACTTAGGACCTTCCGACTACGAGTCAAGCGCTCCCTATGTATTACAATAACAGCCCTAATTTGTAGTGCGGGTAATTAAATGTAAATGAAATATCCTTTGTGCACTGCATATTTTCATGTTCTTGTCACCTCCATCTCTGATGGCTGCCGAGGTAATTGCGGGTCTGCGCGCTTCTCATTGCGCACCACCACCGCACACACGCGCCAACTCGAAACACGCCGCGCCAAATTCACTGGGGTTTTTTTTTTACTCTTTATTTTACCAGGTAAGGCCCACTGCAATATATACCTTTTTTTCAGAAGCGGCCTGGCTGCAAATAACAGCTCACCGAAGTGGCTTATCACGGGAAAATGTATCGCAACCAAATGCTCAAAAGGCATGTTTGTAAATGTGGAGGGAAATACTGGAAGACCCGGAGAAAAAGCCACATGACCACAGGGAGTACAAACTCCAAATATACAGGCGTCAGGATTGGAATCGAACCCACGATCTCCTGTAGTCCAGGCGAGGGAGATAACATCCAGCCACCGTGGCAATTGCAAGTGCAGCGACAGCCATTCTTGGGTTGTTGGCATTGCTCTTAACGAATGTCAGTTTTATGCGATGGGACACCGGTAAATGCTCAGAGATGGCCGTGAAGTGAGCCTCATGTGAATGTGCAGACGCTGCCTGTTGCCTTGTTTGGTGGCGCTAATGTCCGCTGGCGATATAGACTTGTTGCACCCTTTCAATTAGAACGTGTCTTTTTTACCTTTCAGAATGCCACAGAGTGCATTCAATTTGTTGAACACCACTTCACTGTCGACCAGACCTAGCCAGCAGCAGTAACAAATTAAATACCTTTCTCACTCCACCACGATTGCATCTTAGAGTACAAATATTATACGAAATAATGCACCAGATGTTTTTTCTTGTGACGTTTCTTGAGATATATATATACAGCCATACACGGTTTCCTTTCGGGTATTAATGTTGTACAGCTATGACCCATTCTTCAATCCCCGGCGGAATGAAGGTCTCCCCATGCATTCTAGGCTCTGAAGGACATTTGATAATGCCTCACCACGCGGGTCAGTGCATGTTGGTGAGTACCTACGTGACTTTACCGAAAGAACCAAAGAGTGTGGATTCCTGCAGTTACGAAAGCTTCAAATCAAGATTGAGTGCAGAACAATAAAGAAGTTTTCTGCACTGTCCTCTACTGCCCACAAGGCCTACTGCACCTGTCGACGAGGCATGGTGGTCATCCATCCGAGCACTATCCAGGCTCAAATCCTGCTTCGTTTTTGAGCTATGAGATCTGGTGCATTCTGGGTGATTTGGTCAAAGGCAACGATAGTTTACGTACATTTCTTTATCGCAGCGACACAAATTGCCTGAAGATAAAGGGCAGATATTTAGTCTCGGACTGAATATGATGAGATGTGTAAGCACTGATGGTCATTGCAAGCATTCGTTTGCCAATGTTAATTCACAATTTAGTGAAATTTGCTTGCGTTAGTGTGTCAGTTTAAACGGCGCTAATAAGTAACGGCGACTTTTGTGCTGGTCGCATAAAAGCAACGGTTTGACCTTTCAAGCAGCCAAAAGAGTGGCTGATGCATGTGCCATATTTCAGCCCGAGTGTTATGACCTCATTTGGAACGAGACAGCCTCCTCAGCTGTGAAGCCCCTTGTAACACACTTGAGCAGAGCTGCAAGACTTATTTAAAAGTGTGACCATTTCACTTTACGACTGCGACTTCGACTGCGGATAGAACCGGCTCCCGGCTGCCACACGGACTCAACGTCACATGTCAGACACCCCATCTAATGTTACGAAACAACACAAGGGAGTGTCTTACTCTACTATCCAAATATGCCCTCTGTGTCAGGTCCCTTAATACGTAGGCCGAGCTATAAAGTAAGTATAATTTTTGTATATACATCAAGATGATTTTTTTCATGTATCACTTGAGCTTTAATTTTATGAGAATACACACAGTGTTACGTATTATTGTTGTTATATTTTTCGTGTTTGTTTTCAAAGATTCTAATGCTTTTTACACATTTAAGCAGCATATGCAATACTACGTATACTAAAGAGGTTTGAGAAAGATACGGAAACCAATGTGTACTACCTGTCCTAATTAACGCATTGTGGTGGCCATCAGAAAATACACTGCATATAGTTTGCACGCACGTTTAAATATCGTGCTCTCCAAATTATGTATGTGCGTGTGTGTGTGCATATGGGTTCGTGCATGTGTATATGCCTCTTTATAAAGTGGCAGACTCTTGACGACGTGCACTTGCAATCAGTCCTTTGGAGTGGTGTTTTTTTTGACAGATCCTTTGTCATTTCTTGGAGCTTCCTGTAAGAGCCACTTAGTGCTCTCTCGGCACTCACTGACCATGCCTGTTCCGCGCGTGTTATTGTGCATGCCCGAGTGTGTGTGTGTGCGTGTGGGGGGGAGCCGTAGTGTCGCGGTTAGTGCACTGCGCTAGGAACCCGGTGAATCGAACCCGCTCATAGCCACCACCAGTGACGATTATCTGAGCCGGTCCTCGGCCTCCCCTGGGTCGACTCGGCCTCAAATGAGTACCTGGTGTGGTGTGTAACCATCGCCAATGGAGAGACAAAGGCGGCTGGGCATGGTGCAGGCCACCCACCCCCTCGTGTGCCATGCCAGCCTTCATAGGCGCTCGCTAACAGCACTTACCGCAACAGTATGTTATAGGCTGTACGGGGGATCTTTATCTTTTGTATGCTTGTGTGCTTGTAAAAGCATTTCTGTGGTTCTGTGTGTATGAGCATTTCGTGCTGTGATTTTAACAAGCCCAGTTTAATTCCTGGCTTTGCCCATCATTGGCAACTGGCATCTGAAGCTCACCAAAGTCAATTTGATTATGAATGTGACACGTGATCATCGCCATTACCAGCCAACGTATATCCAGAGCTGGATGAAGACCTCATTCCATCACCTGGCTACCCATGATGTACTGAATGGAAGGTGCAGTATGATTGTTAAATGTTGAAGATCACCACCCATCATGGATCTGTTATGCCACCACAATCCACTTGACCGACATCATCACTCTGTCGCCACGGCAGGCGTCCGTTCACACACTCACGTGTACGTGTTTTTATCTGCCAGGCATCTGAAGGCACGGTCGGCTGTCATACATCGCCAGGACAACCTTGCGCGACGGCCCTTGCGTTCTGTGGCAGCGGAGAACACGCAGCCTGAAAATTCCACGGAGCCGAAAGAGCCACCGCCATCCAGAAAGAGGCACAGGGTAAGAGTGTGGCATATCAGTGATGTGTCCAATAACTGTTTGTCCACCTTTGTCTTTGAATAAGTTGCTATTTCCAATCTCTTTTTGGGTGTAAACTCACCCCATCATCTCTCAAGAATCAATAAAATTAGTTCAATCGTGTTTCTCCTTTGGATAGGTTGGTCCTCCACCATTGGAATGTAAAGTTCGCACAGCAGTAGTTATAATTACACTATTAAGACAATGATCTCCCTTTTAACCAGGATAGGTTGTTTGGGCAAATGTTGGTGATCACTTATTAAGGCTGCAAGCAAATGGGGGAGTGGTGCGATCGGTACGATTCAAACCTGTCTCTCTCTCTCCATCGCTTATGTTTAACACACCATCGTGGGTATTCACTTTAGGCTGAGTCAGTTTCGAGAGACCAAGGCAAAATTCAAAGGTACAGATACCAATTGCAAAAAGTAATTGTACATGTATGCTGTCTGTTGAACTTCTTCTGCACCGTGCGTAGCCAGCCGTGCATGAGTTTTCAATCTCGATGTAAAAGTGCATAGCTCCAGGAGCTTCTTGATACCGGAAGGAAGAGCGTTCCAGATGGCCGCAGAAGCGCATCTGAAAGCGCTCAATTCCGTGACCGTCTTTGATCGATGGCTATCCAAAAGCCACTGTGAGGATGACATCATTACCAGGACACAAAGCTGAAGTAATAAAAATAATATATTCTTGGTTCTTTCGGTAAAGTCAGGTAGAAGGGAAACAATAAAATAATACAAATATCAAACAATACAATTCTCACGACGTTTCGACTGCAACACAAGCAATCATCTGTGGTTTTCACACCTGATGATGATTGCTTGTGTTGCAGTCGAAACGTCGTGAGAATTGTATTGTTTTATATTTTTATTATTTTATTGTTTCCCTTCTACGTAACTTTACCGAAAGAACCAAGAATATGAATTCCTGCAGTCACGAAAGCTTTAAATAAAAAAATAAGAATGTCCACTGCTTTATAAATCCATTGTTGGAGGAAGGCCTCCCAATGCCAGATCTATTATGGTGATTGTTTGACCATATTTCGCCATGTTGATCAGTGTGGATTGGTAAAAGTTGAGCAAGTCCAGAACTGGTTCAGGTATCATATGGCTACTGATTTTAGCTATCGGCAGATCTAGAACTCAGGTACCCAGGTTCATAGCACAGTGTGCTAATCACTGCTCAACATATTGTATGTGGCCATATATCTGCACACAAAAAACATATAGAAATAGGTTCACAGAAATACTAGATGTCTCCACTTGTATAATATATAAAGTAAAATAAATTGCTTGAGTAAGACACAGAAATATTGAAAATGCAATCTAAACATTTTTTTATATCTATATTTGAACCGAATCTTGTCAATATACACATTTTTAAATGTTCATGAACTCGCTGCAAAGAGTTTGTCAATACGAGTCAATACTCCACTCAATTGGCCTCGTAAGGCTGCCGTGCCACTCGTGGGTAGCCCACTCGTCAAATGTGAACATGAATCCTGTTTCAACGTCAATACACGTAAAGTACCCCACGAGCTTCTTCTCCCCGTCTCCCCAATCGCAGTACAATCACGCTGCTGTCAGCGTCATATGACGAAATGAAGGCGCCTACAATTTGGAACTCGCACAGAGAGGTAATGTAACGTCCTATTGTGCCGAGAGAAATGGCCCTTAGAGGAGGACAACACGGAGCTACCTCTGAAGTCACTTCAGTGGACGTCTTGTCTGTAGTATAGTATGTTGAACTTATTTTGCGCCGTACATATCCAGCCATGCTAATCAAAGGTGCGGGTGAAGGACAGCAAACTAAACACAAAAAAGCAGTTTTAAAGAAATTAGTTTTAAATCATCTAGATTTAAAAGTGCATAGCTCCAGTGGCGTTCCAGACGGCCGCTGAAGTGCATCTGAAAGCGCGCGATGCAGTGACCGTCTTTGTTTGATGGCTAGCTAAGGCCACTGTGAGGACGACCGGAGTTCACGGGATGGTTTATGCTCCTTGATGAGATCAGCAAGGTATTGTGGTTCATTTGTGACAAGCACTTTGTGTGCAATGATTGCGACCCTATGTATCGATTCGGAAACCGGAAGCCAATGCAGCATTGGACGGACACGGTCGGACCTCGTAGTGCCTTCGTTATTCTTCTCCTAAATGTCCCAGCTCGATGCCTCTGCCCATGTCAAGAACTCATTCTACCAGTGTCCATTTTGTCTTTTGCATACCGTGCGCGGCTGGTGTATCGCAGGATGCAACATTTATATTTCCCCATGTTTCTATAACCTTGCACAATTAAAGATTTTTGTTGGGTTGTATCTTGTGTACCATCATTATTGCTCTTTGTTATTGGTCGATTCTTGTTGTAGGCCTTTGGGGCCGACGTTCGGCAAACTGCAATCATAATAAAATAAAATAAAAACTTTACGAGCATCTTTCGCAGCGTATGAATCAAATGCATCTAATATGTAAATTGAAGATGCAATGATCCAATTATTATGATGTTCATAAGTGTGTCGTTAAAGAGCGTTTGGCCTCTGAAGATCGTGTGAAAAATGTTGGTTATAAATAATAATGGGGTCCGGCACCATTACGCACTTTATTTCCTCCAGCTGAGAAAACATCATTACTCACATTAAATTTTAATTTAAAGTTGCATTTAGAGTGTAATTCACACTGTGGCACACACGTTCGCTTGTACATTATCTGACGTACGGAAACACGTGCGTCTTTCAGTGGATGCCGAGTGTGCTTTTTAATGCCTCGACTTGGGGGTGAGGTTGGTGGATCGTGATGGGATGTAAGTTGTGAATCATTGGTGAAAGCAAGAGCCAATATAATTATACACGCAGGGTGCTTACATGCGGAGCCAATAAGTCTCTAGGAGGGAGTACTCTGCCAGCAGACTTTTGATATATTGCATTAATTGTTCTCTCATGCGCTCGCAATGCGATTTTACTGTGCGAGCAAAACATTTTACATTCAAAAGGAGTTTGCCAAGGTTTCCATAGCAGAATCCTCGAACGTACCTTCTCGATTGAAAACGAATTTCTCTGGAACCGCTTTTTTGTGTTTAGTTTGCTGTCCTTCCCTGGCACTTCCAATAAGCACGTTTGGCTAGATGCGGTGCGAAAGAAGTTCTACATACAAGCAGCGGCACTGCTATGGGCCAAGTAGCAGTAAGCATAACGATATTCTGATGCAGGGAGATACTTTGACGTGATCTTGATTTAAATAATGATAATATCATTAGACGTATTATTTTACATGGGCAATTTTTATACAAGGTCCTATCTGTGTACATATTAGGTAAGCACGTAGGGATGCATTGATCCATACATTAAAATGCATTCTTGCTCTCGCGTTACACGTGAAAACATAACAAAACAAATCTATTACAATAAATGCTAAGCAAACTTGAGTCTGTATCGTACTTGGGTGGGTAACCACTGTGCACGAATAACAGGTACTTTCGGCACTGGGCAGCAGTGGGGCTGACCAGTGTGGTGAAGTATGGTCAGATATCCCTCAACTTTTGGAGGCCCTCGTCCAGCAGTGAATTGACAAAAGGGCTGTACACGTACATGGTGCTTCACAAAAACAATGACATGCCTTTGTCATGAGCTTTAGAATTGGATTTAATCACTAAATATATGCATCATTACATGGCCAATAAATAATGTCCTTCACACTGATACTTTATATTAACAAGTTAAATGTTTTGCCGATTTAATTTTAATAGTGCGATCGGCGTTTTGGCATTGGATGAAAGTTCCATTCGAAACTCGGGCAGAACAGTGCGCAACCCTTTGTATTGCAGCATGGCCCATGGAAGTGGATATCACAGAGCTACCAATGAGATCCCTTCAAGTGACTTCTGGTCCACACACAGTAGGGTGCAGCACTTCCCACTCACTTTGGATATGGGAGTAAGGTTCGTAGCATGACAATTAAAACATTCATTTCATTCTCAGTGATGGAATTTGCCCAAATTTCTTTAGATTTCGTTTTTGAGAAAGTCATTGGCTACTAAGCTGAGACTATCAACTCACTCCACTTGAGGACGTGGTTTAATCACAGGCAGCTGCCTAGATTAAAACCCACGACTTTACTCATACCACCTTTACGCTAATACATAACTCAATGAGTGAAGTTGGAGTGAGTTTGGAAAAGTCAAGTTCGGCATGCTGTGTCTCCTACCAGATTGCCAAGAGGCATTTCGTAGCTTATTTGGCTTAAAGAGAATTAATGATTGCCTGACTTAATGCCCATTATAATGTATGGATATAAAGAGATGAGTTTTATACTGTGACCGTAGACGTAATAATAATGTAATCATACACATTAAATAATATATTGGCAACAGCTCGACGTATGGTCAAGAAACTTTAATTTGAGTTAAAATAAGAAAAAATTACCAACGTTGTCAATTTGACGAGTTTAGTATGACATTCACCATTAAATATTTTTTTTAAGTTGCTTAAACAGAATTCTCATTACAAAAGTTATTCCATTAAAATAGTGGTGTTTGTTCGTATCTTTAATAATTTTCAATCGTATTACTTTCCAGCATATTGCCCCTTGCATTAAAATGTAGATCATATTGATGGATAACACATTGTAATACGATTTCTATTATTGGGCCTTATTATAAATGGTATCTTTTGCATAAATCACCACTAAACTCTGTTACTATTAAAGTCGGTCATTAACGTGGAGGTCTCACTAAGTGAAACTCAAAGGGGTGCCGAGTTCATTTCACCGTGCTGTTTTTGCGTCACTTAAAAAAACACTTTTTTTAAAATGAGTGCATTACGCAGTGGTTAGAGCAATTTGCCAAGTGACCTCCTTTCAATTTCTGTACCACTGCTAACATCAGTAGCGAGTGCTGGCTGAGCCCATCCTGCTCCGCCTTCATCAACCCCCAACTGACCAACTTGGCCAAGTGCGGTTGAACAACCACCGAGGACTGACACGGCCGTCGGAAGGC